CTCTGGCCACGCCCCCCGGGATCGCCAATCCCCGGGCTGGGCGGGACACCGTGCTTTAACCCTTCGGTTGCCGCGTGCCAGCCCGTGCTTGGGACCCGTCCCTCTCCCCACTCGAGTGTGCCCGGAGCTCCTCGGCTCGTCGCCTGTTACCTCCCAAGACCCTTGGGCTCAGCCCCCCCGTCTCTCCAACAAATCCAGTGGGGACGCGCCCTCCCTGAACCCCACATATTTGGCGACAGGGAGGGGCTCCCGACGCGGGGTCCCGAGTCCCATGCCTCTCCCGCTCCTGCTCTTCGGACGCGGCTTCCCAGTGGACACCTTGGCATGCTGAAAGTCTGCAAGGTGGGGCGGGGCGAGCCGTCACGAGTGGATCCGACACGGCAGTAGGAAGACCCGCCCCCGCGGGGGACCGCGGGCGGGTGTGTGGGAGGCTTCCAAGGACCGTGACTGCCTTCGTCAGCAAACCGAACCGATTTGAAACTTGCTGCTCGGGAATGCTCACCGTCCAGGGAACCGGCGGAGATAAGAAGCCATCCATTACAGTTCAGCAGGGCTTCAGCGCCTTCACCTCGTGCCCCGCACCCGAGGCGAGGCCTCGCCCCGTCCCGCATCCTGGAGTGAGAGTGAGGTGGGGACTTCCTCCCAGACCCAGAGAATCGGCTTCGCACGCAGGCGCCGCGTCCTGTTGGGGAGCGCTCATTCCGCCTAGGGTGGCCCCGGAGGACTGCCGGGAGGAAGAGGTCTGCCTGGAACTGGGGCCTTAGCCTTAAATAGGGCATAGGGCGGGAAAGCAAGCCAGGCCTAAGGTTCAGCATTAGCTAAAGCCTGGAGGTATAAGGGGTCCGCCCTAAAAACCCGCAGTGTCTCCACTCTGGCCGAGATATAACCCATTGTATCTCTGCTGTTAGAGCTGATTTGTTTGGTTATCGACATGTCATCCTATTTTATAGTCTTGATTTTGCTATTTCCTGTTTTCTGAATTTTTCCATATTTGCTTTTATCTTTTAGTGTTTTGCAAGGCAGAAAGCCAGTTTTTTAATTCTCCCGGTGGTTGACTGTAAGTTTACTAAATAAAAAGTTTATATTTCACAAATTATGTCAAAGACAAATCGTTCATTTTTATATTCCTCTTTATGCAAGGAGAAATTTAATGTGCTTTTCCACGTCCTGGCCTGCTACCCTCACACCTATGTCTATTTGTCCACTTAATCCAGGATGATAGACCCAGCTTTTGTTGGCACTTTTTTAAAGCCACTAAATCCTCTTTTGATCATTGTTTTTGGCTTTTGCCGGCCCTTTAATTGGTATCAATGTCACTGCCAGCTTTTTTATGCTCTAAATTTTCTTTTCCTTGCTCAGACCCGCCTTGACTGGTGACTTGAGGGAGGACTTGTGAATGCTGTTTTTCTAGCCTCTGTCCTAGGTGCTTCCTACTGTACCCACAAATGGTGGCTTGACTGTGAGCCTCAAAACCTTCCCTCAACTCTCTCTTGTCCTTATCCCAGTATCTTTTGGCTTTCAGAACGGTAGCAAATGCACCTGAAACTATATACAGTTGACCCTTGAACAACCTGGGTTTGAACTGCATAGGTTCACTTATATGTAGATTTTTTTCAATAAATGTATTGGAAAATTTTTCAGAGATTTGTGACAATTTGAAAAAACTCACAGATGAACCATGTGATCTAAAATATCAAAAAATTAAGAAAAACTCAGGCATGTCATGAATGCATAAAATATATGTAGTGACCTATTTTATAATTTACTACCACAGTATATACACAGATCTATTATAGTTAAAATTTATCAAAACTTAGGCACTTAGGCACAGACTGTACATGGTGCAATTCACAGTTGAGAAATGTAAACAAATGTAAAGATGTGGTATACATGTGTAACATACAAAATTTATACTAATCAACTTTATATTATTGGTAAGGCTTCTGATCAACTGTAAGGCTACTAGTAATGAAGTTTTGGAGAAGTTATGTAAGGATTTTCAACTGTGCAGGGGTTTGCATCCCTAACCCTCCCCCCCATTGTCCAAGGGTTAATTGTAATTTTATGTCAATTTTATCTCAAAATAAATGATAGCAAAGCTGGGCAGGTCTGTTTTAGGTGAGCAGTTTGCCTGGTGCTTGGGACTTTTTATTACTGTCAAAACCAAACATTTTGCCAGTGTTAAGTCTCAGTGTAGGCCTTTTTCTTTTAACTTTCCAGAAATAAAAGGTCTTTTCAGCTTAGAAAAGTTTTCTCCTAATATGTCCCTAATCTGTGAACAGATTGTTGGTTTTTTTCCTCCACTAAAATGATCACCTTGGGTCACTGATGTCAATGCAATCTTTGTCTTTTTTCTCTGAATCCTAGGAGAGTATCTCAAGTTTTTCTTCATCATCATGAATTTTCTTCAGTTACCAAGAGTAATCTTTGTATTTAATTCTATTTTTCTTTCATTTTAGTCAGTTCCGGCCCCACTTATCTTGATCCCAATCCCTCTTTATGGTTTTCTGTTCCTAGCTTCGGAGGATAGATTCTTAGAGAATGTGGTTTTGCATCTTAATATGCGGGAAACGTATTTATACATTTTACGTTGACTGGTAGTAGAGTGCACGATAAAAACTTCCTGCAAACAATGTGTTAGGAACACCAGGAAAATAAGAGAATACCATAACTGACTCTGTTCTAATGTATATGAAAACCTTGATAAAGTGGACTATTTTCTGGGAAATAAAATTACAAAAATAAGAGGTTAAAAACATTATCCAAGAAATATATATTAAAAAAAAAAGACTCAAGGCTCAGGTGGTTTAATGAAAGAATTCTCTCAAATTTTCCATAAATAATCTTAACCCTGTAAATCTATGAGCCAGAAAAATTAGAATGCTAGTTCATTTTCTGAAGCCACAATTCCCCCTAAATCGATTCCCAAAAAGGACAGCATAGTTCAGCCCTGGACAGGTGGCTCAGTTGGTTGGGGTGTCTTCCCGTACACCAAAATGTTGTGGGTTCGATTCCCAGTCAGGGCACATACTTAGGTTTTGGGTTCCACGTATGGGAGGCAATGGATCGATGTTTCGCTCTCTCTCTCCCCCTCCCTCCCTCTAAAATCAATAAAAACATATCCTCAGGTGAGGATTAAAAAATGAGAGAGCCCAGCAGGCATCGCCTAGGGGTTGAGCATTGACCTCTAATCCAGATCAAGTTTCCATTCCGGGTCAGAGCACATGCCCAGGTTTTGGGTTTGATCCCCAGTAGGGGGCATGCAGGAAGCAGCTATCAATGATTCTCATCATTGACAGTTCTCTTTCTCTTTCTTTCTCTCTTTCTCTCTCTCTCTCTCCCCCCCCTTCTCTCTGAAATCAATAAAGATATATTAAAAATCAATAAAGATATACTAAAAAAAGAGCGAGCCACCAATGCAGCAGAGGGGCGGCAATTAAAACAGCAATCTATCCTCTCAATAAAGCTGGGAAAGTAAAAAATGAGTCTATTAGGCTTACAAAAATTAAAAAGACTGATGATCCCATGTTGGTGAGGGTGTAGGAAAACAGTGTTTTTTAGTAAAAACTGATACAACCTTTTGGGAGGACAATTGGGTAATACGTAAAAATGTAAAATGTGTATGTTCTTGGACCCAGCAATTCCATTTCTGCGAAGAAATGCCATCCCAATATGACAGATATCTAGGCCTCAGTTGTATTTCAGCTCCAGGCCCAGAAAAGTAGCAAAACTAGACAAGTGACACCAAGGCTGACCTCAGTACCAGCTGCATTGAATAATAACCCCCAGTCCTGGAGCGGACCAATCAGTGGAGACCCGGACCCTGAGAGGACACACCTAGAAAGCTGCTGAATATTCTATTGAGATCTACCCCGTGGGACCCCCCCTAAAATCTCCACCATTAAAACCCTTAAGACAGAGGACCCCTCGTGCTCTCCATCTGGGAAGCAAGCCATCACATTTCCCCTCCCTGCTCCCCAACCCCCGCAGGTGCCTCACCTTTACCCTCCTCACTTCTAAGCTCTAAGGGCCCTTCCTTTGCCTCTACAACCTGTTTCCTAAGCCCATTTCTTCAAAGAATTACTTATACCTCTGTGCTTTTCCAAACAAATGTTCTCTTATAGTTTGAGAAAAAAATTAAATACATCTGGAAAGATACACATCAAATTATTAAGAGTGGCTACCTTGAGGTGGTGCGATTGCAGGGGGCATGGCAGAAGACAGGACTTCTATAATGTTTGCATTTTTTAGAGCATGTATTACTTTTGTAAAAAGAAGTTTGTTTAAAATAATAAACAGGTAAGCTCTTAAAATTTAGTAACAGTAGACCATCAAGATATTAAATATTTGCCCAAAAACTCCTGCCCCAGTGGATTTTGTGTTCTAGTGAGAGAAGACAGTAAGTAAAATATATAATGGATTAGAAGGTAGTAAGTACAAGGACGTTGAGATTACTGGGGGAATCTCAATTCTGGATAAGGCTTCACTGAGGTAACATTCAAGTTCCAGACTTTGAAAAGGAACAAGTAAATCTGGAGATTTCTAGGATGCAATCCTTTTATCTATAAAAAATGAGCTCTTCTTTTGCACTGTTTTCTTGTTTTGTTGCACCAAAGCTTCCAAATAGAAAATAACTACCTAAACATTATTTTAATGACAATTTTTAATAAGACCAATAACTACAAAAGGAATTGAAGAGATAAATACCTTTTTAACTGACACTAGCCCTAGACTGTTTTATGGCTGAGTCCTACCCAATCTATAGAGATCATTCCAAATTTGAAAAGCTCCCAAATTCACTTTATAAAGGTAGAATAATCTTAATGCCAAAATCTGACAAGTGATATAAAAGAAAATTATGATTGATTAATCATCTGTCTTCCCCACTAGCTTGCAGCATCACGTAGACAGGAGCCATTTAAAAAATTTCATATCCCCATCTTAAATACTCTGGTAAGCAGAATAATGGCCCCAAAGATGTCCAAGTCCTAATCCCCAGAACCTGTGACTATGTTAGGTTCCAGCAAAGAATTTAGGTTGTAGATAGAATAAGGTTTCTAATCAGATAACCTTAAAATAGGGAGATTATCCAGGATTACCTAGGCAAGCCCAATGTAATTACAGGATTCTTAAAAGTGGAAGAGAAAGGCAGATGAGGGGGGAGATCTGATTATGGAAGACTGGTTAGAGAGATGCAACATAGCTGGCTTTACAGATGAAGGAAGGGGGTCAGTCATGAGCCTAGGAATGTGGTGGCCTCTTGAAGATGGAAAATAGCTTCCAAAAGGAACACAGCCACCTTGATTTTAGCCCAGTAAGACCCATGTTGAACTTCTACAGAACTATAATAAATGTGTTGTTTTATACCATTAAGTCTGTGGGAATTTGTTATAGCAGCAGTAGAAAACAAATGCAAGCACAAAATAGACATTCAACATTCATTTGCTGAATGACAAATGAAACTGCAAAATCCCTGGGTCTACAGATATTGGGTAAAAGAAAGAAATAGATCATTCACTGAATACAAATGGCCAATAAACTGTTAAAAACATCATGAGCCCATTGACACTGAAGAGATGCAAATCAAAACCAAATTAGCAGACTACTGTGATCCTTGGGAATCCAACCCACCAAGTTATCCAGAAGGGGACTTGGGGCTTCTTCTCTGGGCAATTTCCGTGACCTCCAAACACCAAACTGCGGGACAGATAAGGCACTATAATCCATGCTAAAGCTTTTTACAGCTGTGCTTGCTCTATGAGGAAATAAAAACCTCTGGAATTGGGCAAAAATTCCTGGAAATAAACAGTAAAGGTCTTGGAGATTATCTAAACCAATATAAAACTGCAACTGAAACATTATGATCCAAGTATGCTGGAGTCTTTTACAAGGTGTTTTATAAGCTGATTAGCTGACGTTCTCTCTCTCTCTCTCTCTCTCTCTCTCACACACACACACACACACACACGGTCCATAGAAAAGAGTCAAAGAAAAAATACAAAAAGTATTAGATTGTATTATCCTTTTTATCACTGTTCTTTACTAATTGCATATTTTATCTAAGATAAAATGGTTTATGCTTTTATGTTCCCCAGGGTACCTCTGTAACATTTAATTTTTTTCTGTTTTTACATAATTGATGCTTCATGTAAATACTAACAAAGAGCCTTATCTGTACCTATACAGTATAACTCTCATTGCAAGATATTAAGAAACTAAGTAAAAAGTTATATAAACTATCACTCCACCCACTATCCCAAGTGAGTTTTATGTATCCACATCTATTTGTGAAGCATGTTAGTCCTTCTTAAAGCCCCAAGTAGAATAAAAAAAAAAAAGATTATTGCATCATGAAAATTATGGTCTTGCCCAAATCTTTAACCAATTTTATGGAAACATGCAAGCCACATAAATGTTACCAGATTTAATTTTTGTAAAAGCTGGGGTAAATTTGCCCAGCAGAAAGCCTTCTTTATAAACTTTTTACATTATCATTGCAGATAGATATGGTGATGGCTAAATGAAACTTTTATTACTGCCTTTGGGGATCTCAACTTCCCATGTGTTCTTCACTTACCATTTGCCTATTTTTCCTCTTGAGTTGCTACCATCCAGCAGGAACAGTAGCTGAGATGTGAAAAAAATGAGAATTTCCTGCCCTAGCTGGTTTGACTCAGTGGTTAGAGTGTCTGCCCGCAGACTGAAGGGCCCCAGATTCAATTCCAGCAAAGGGCACATACCTTGGTTGCAGGCCAGCGCTGGTCGGGGTGTGTGCAAAGGGCAGCCAATTGATGTGTCTCTCTCACATCAATGTTTCTCTCTCTCTCTCCCTCCCTCCCTCTCTCCCCTCTCTCTCTTTCTCTCTCTCTCCCCCCCCTTCCATCCTCTCTGAAAAGCAATGGAAAAAATATCCTCAGGTGAGGATTTAAAAAAAAAGAGAATTTTCCAACAATAATGTATTATATGTTCAATAATTTCTCATCTATTCATATTTGTTACTATGGTCTATTTTGGTATGTGGCAAAATGTACAAACTAAAAAGGCATTAAGACAACTGCCAAACTAGACATCAAGCATTTATCCAAACTACTACCCTGTTATGTGAACTGTGGGGTTTAGCGGGACAACGAACTGACCTGACTTACCTTGTTGATTAGAAAAGTTAAAGTAAAGCCATAGCTGAGTAGTTCAGTTGGTTTGAGCATTGTCTGATACACCAATGTTGTGGGTTTGATCCCCCGGTCAGGGCCATACAAGAATCGACCAATGGCCCAACCTGGCGTGGCTCAGCGGTTGAGCGTCGACCTAAGATCCAGGTGATCGGGGTTTGATTCCTGGTCAGGGCACATGCCCAGGTTGCGAGCTCGATCCCCAGTCAGGGGCGTGCAGGAGGCAGCCAATCAATGACTCTCATCATTGATGTTTCTATCTCTCTCTCTCCCTCTCTTTTTCTCTCTCTGAAATCAATAAAGATATATATATATAAATAAATAAATCAACCAATGAATGTATAAATAAGTGCAACAACAAATTGATGTTTCTTTCTCTCTCTCCCCGCCTCCTCTATCTCTAAAAAAATAAAAATAAAAATAAAGTAAAACAACAGAGGCATTAAATCTGTTACTCAGGATACAGGAGGAACATAATTAGTTTTAGTTTTGGTATTATGTGTCTTTTTGTATCATGCTGGATCTCTAAGTCAAATTGTAAAAGCACATACGAAAGTTAAAATGACTAAAACCAGGTTACATGCAAAGGGTTATATTTAAATAAATTTAACGTGATAGTATTGGTATTCTGTAGGTTCTCTTATAAGGTTCCCTCATACATATTGCTGTAATGAGTAATCAAATAATGTATTAACCAGCCACAAATTATGTATGATATCAGAATAAACCAAGTAAAACTATTCTTATTTATTTATTTAATCCTCTCCCGAGGATATTTTTTCCATTGATTTTCAGAGTGTGTGTGGGGGGGGGTGAGAAAGAAACATCTATGTGAGAGAGACACATCGATTGGTTGCCTTCTGCATGTACCCCAACCGGGGCTGGGGATTGAACCTGCAACCCAGGTTATGTGCCCTTGATGGGGAATCAAACCCAAGACCCTTTGGTCCAAGGGCCGAGGCTCTAAGCACTTAGCAACGCCGGCCAGGGTGCAAGTAAAACTGTTTTTAAATGTCACTAGTGTAATCCAAATTGCTTTTGGTACAACTCTCTATCAAGTTATATATGATACACAACTCCTCACCCAGATACTGATCCTCAGCTTTGTCCTCAATATAAAAGGAACAGGCTCCTTAGAACCACGTTTTTCAAACTGTAGGCTGAGATCTGTTAGTGGGTTATAAAATCAATTTAGCCACCATCAGCAAAGAGAGAACAGAGAAGCAAATACCAACATGCATCAAATTACGGTAAGCAGACTGCTGTAAAACTTTGCTTCAGTTTCTGTATGTAGGCACACATACATACTGAGTCCTTAATGTACAATGAATTTCTTACTAAGAGATACTGTCAAAAATGTCTGGCCCACCCAGCGTGGCTCAGAGTTTGAACATCGACCTATGATACAGGAGATCGCGGTTCAATTCCCGGTCAGGGTACATGCTCGGGTTGGGGGCTCAATCCCCAGTGAGGGGTGTGCAGGAGGCAGCCAATCAATGACTGTCATCATTCATGTTTCTCTCTCTTTTTCTCCCTCTCCTTCCTCTCTCTGAAATCAATAAAGATATATTAAGAAAATAAAAAAAGAATTAGATTCAAAGCAATAAACAAACAACCCTCCAAATATAGCTCAATTTCTGGGCTCAGCATTCACTACCTTTCCCAGCCAGATGGCAATCTCCCTTTCCACCCCATCTCTCCCTGCCCAGATCTTTCCCTTTCCTCCACCCCACACACCATGCCCCTCAGTGAACTGAGTCTTTACATTCTCTGGATCTGTCCTCTCCTCAACCTTGAAGACCTCACCTTGTGAATACTACAGTATTTGGCTATGTACCTGTTGGCTAGGTGATTGGTGGTCTCCCTATTAGATTAACACCACTGCCTCCATCCCCATTTATGGATGGGAGCATGTTTGTTTGTTTGTTTGTTTGAAAAGTATTTTTATTGATTTCAGAGAAAGGGAGGGGGAGAGATAGAAACATCAATGATGAGAATCATCGTTCTGCTGCCTCCTGCATGCCCCCTACTGGGGACTGAGCCTGAAACCTGGACATGTGCCCTGACAGGGAATCGAACCTCGATCTCCTGGTTCATAAGTTGACACTCAACCACTGAGCACACCGGTCGGGCTGGGGCGCTGTTTTGCTCTCTATAGTTCCCTGGAGTGTTTAGCATCCTGCCTTGCATTCAGTAGGCTCTCCACAGATTGTTAGTGTTTTGTGTGTGCTTTTTAAAACACATTTTGGGTGTTTAAATAATTTTTGAGTCAACATGCATCCTGCACTGGGGCAACTGTGGCAACTGGGGGGAGTCAATTGTTGGGTGGGCCCTGGCCAGGTAGCTCAGTTGGTTAGAGCATTGTTCAGATACACCAAGGTTGGGGGTTTGATCTTTGGTTAGGGTACACAGAAGAAGCAAACAATGAATGCATAAATAGGTGGAGCAACAAATAGATGTTTCTCTTTCTCCTCTCTTTTCTAAAATCAATTTTTAAAAAATTATTGGGCGAATGGAGTGGCTACTGGTTGCCTCATGTGCCCCAGCTTTTTTGGCCCGTTTTCTGAGGCGCAGCTTGAGTCAAGAATACATGAGGCCATCGAGGGCTCATTGTTTTTAAGCTTTTTGTTATGGGAAATCTTAAACATGTATAGAAATAGATGAGAATAACCTCCATGTACCCATTACTCAACTTTAATAAATTTTCAACTCATGGCCAATTTTGTAAATGATTTTTGAAAAGAAGAGTTGCATTATATGGCTCTCCAACCACAGGTTCATCAATAAGAGGCCTTGAAGGTGCATCCAAAAGAGAAGCTGTGATAGAACCAAACTGAACTGGACTAGACTCCACTGGGAGAAAGTGGTATCAAAAGAGACCTGCTGGGCTGTGCTGGGCTGTGCAGGTTAGGTACCCAGAGCAAGCACAACAAGCATTTTATAACTTGCGAGTTACAAAAATCAAAATTTATCTGATTGGTTGGAATCAACAGTCTAGAGTTCCTGATGTAAGGAAAAAATCTAACTGTAAAAGAGGGGCCACCCTGGCCGGGGAGCTCAGTTGGTTAGAGCATCGTCTATTCTTTTCCCTCTCCTACTAGACTGTGGGCTCCCAGATGGCCTTCCAAACAATGCACGTGGCCCTTCCTAGCTCCAGGTGACTCCAAGTGCTCACTGCTGACAGAATTAGCAAAGCCACATCTTACTTGCAATTTAGGTTCTATAGTTAATGCTTATATCAAATGAGTCAAAATCACCCTTGACAACCCCTCAGGAAGGCTCTGCCCTGGAGCCTGATGTCCTGTCTCCCCATCACCATCCACACAGAATTTCCTCCTGTGCTGGAACAGAAAGCTGCCTCCTCCACCACCAGGCATCAGAGGAAGTAGGTGGTTTATGTTCAGGGGCCACCTTGCGTAAGAAACACATTTAAACACATGCCTCACCCTTAGCACAGCAGGATGCTCATGCTACGAACATCCCACAGGAACTAGAGTGACTGACCCTACAGAAGACACCCATCTCCCATCTCACACCCACTCCCGAGCATATGGTCCTCACATCCACTAGTGGGTGGAATCACCCACACCATTTAGACTTGTCAAAAATGTAGAGCTGAATTCATGTGATTTGCTCTATGAAGCAATGTCCTTCCATGGCACAAGTCTATCTAGATCAAGCACGCCCTCTTCTTCCTTCCACCTGTCCCATAGCAGCTGGCCTAGCCTCTTACCCTCCCTTCCCTCCCTCTTAAAGGCTAATGTTCCCTAGGACTCTTTCCTTGGCACAGCTCATTAGCTCTCTCCCACAGGGCTCTCAGCCCTCCTTAGGGCTCCTGAAGCCATATAAAAAATGGAGAGACCTCCCTCCTTAGTTAGGGGAAACATGGCCCAGGAGGTTTCTCACTTTTGTTCAGGGAAGGAAGAACAGAAAGACTTCCTCCAGGCCTTGAGAGCTTGGCTTGCAGGGTACAAGGAACACAGTAAATGCTATTATTTTTTTTTTTTTGAATGAATAAATGCTTGATAAGAAGGGAACTTCCATCTGCTTCTGCAGGACACTTCCCCTCCCTGCCCCCAACCTCCCTGAGGCTTAGATTTCACCTGCTCATCTGGGATCCCAGGCCAGGTCTTCTGCCACACCAAGCCACACCAAGCTCAGCAGTGCTCACAGGCCTTTAATCTAGAACTGCCTGGCCACACTCCATCACTGCCCCAGGATGGTGGAGAGGGATAAAGATGTATGGTCAAGTAGGCTGTGCCAGCTCTGAGTCCAAGAGGAAAGGCCTAGGTCAGGCTGGGGCCTGGGCAGGGGCCTCCTGGCCCCAGGCGATGAGGGAGTTGCTGGCCTGGGCAAGCTCGGTGATGGACACCCGGCCCCGCTGTCGGATGAAGTTAGCCACAGCAGCCAGTTCCTCCGGGGTTATGTAGATGAACTTGCCCCGGTCGTCAATCACACCTGTGGGGACACACAGGTTGTGGTGCTGAGCCTTCTGGGCCCTCCTCATCTGGCTTGAGAATGCCCTCCCACCCTTTCACAACTGGCTCCGAGCTCTCCAGGCCTGCCTGGCTGCCTGGCCCTTCCTGGCTGCATTCAATCCTGGCTAGGTGTCAAATCAAGCTTTCTTGCCTGTCCTGGTCACTCTGAGCCATCCCCAGGCCTTGGCACATCCTCCTTGTAACTGTGTCCCCTGCTCAGTGTCCCTCATTGCACAACGTTCCCCCCACCCTTGGTTATTATCCTGCCTCTGCAAAAAGTCCCTGGAGCTCCCTGTGGTTAGACACTCCCCAAGGCCAAGGCCTATAGTGACTGATCCTCATCATCTCACCTGTCAGAGTCCCCTCCGCCAGCAGGTCCTGAATGCGGTTTATGGTGTCCTGTGAGAACAATTCCCGGAGCAGAGATGGGTTCTGCAGTCCCCAGAAAAGGCACCTCCAACCTCCCTGTCACCACAGCCAAATCTCCTCCCCACACTCATGGCTGCTCCCCCACCCAATGTGACTCTGTTTCTCCTCTGGAGGGGATCAGGGGAAAGGGGGCCCTGGTCCTGGGGCCCTGCAACACCCCAAGAGAAGAGTTTTTTCCAACCAGGAAAGGAGCAGTAGTGACATCTGGCCATGAAGGCTGGTACAGCCTATTTACAAGAGTTGTCAAGGTAACTGGATTTGGGCTGCTTCAGTTGCAGGGGCTGCTGGAGGGACAGGACTTTATTCTTTTCTTCCCTGCCTGCTCTTCCATTTAGTAGAAAGGCAAGATTCTATCTTGGAAAAATGCCTCTTGGATTTTTAAACAGAATATGACTCTTCATTCATAAAATAAAAACATATATGAAAACTAAAAATCCCCCAAAATAACCCCACAGGATTCTTGGTGTGCCAAGAGTCTTATTCTCCTCCCTCCTGGTTGGAGGCAGGGTAGGGGGGACATCAAGATTCCTCATCTTTAGGGCAGGCCCCCTCTGACAGCCACATGGATCCCATGGCCACACTCTACACAGCAGGTCACCTTCCAGGGCTTACCTGAGTCCGCAGGCCCACCTGGGAAGCCAGGTCTTCCAAGAGCACAACCTTGGACTGCTACAAAGAGAGGGAGAAAAGGGAGGGAGGCTGAGTGGGCAAGTCCTTCTCAGCACAAACTGAGGTTTGCATTCTGGTCTGATCTGCTTTGGGTGGCTGTGTAACACAGTATAGATTCCTGTGGGAGAGCCTTGATCACCTCACACACTCACCCAACCACCCATATTCAGAGACATACACTCATAAGTTCTCTCCTTCCCCTGCTTGTGGGGAGGTATCTGCCTAAAACCACCACTTGGCCCACAGGCCCCATCCTGGACTAGGGACCATAATGAGAGACACACATGTGGAGAGCCAAGCACAGCTGCCACCTTCTCTTTACTCAGTTGTATCTTTTTAAAATCAAGGGCACGTTGGAAGGGGAAGCACCATAATATGGAGTGACAGTCACCAAAACCTATTTTTTAAAAACTGTCACCAGGCCCTGGCTGGTGTGGCTCAGTTGGCTGGGCGTTGTTCCGTGCACCAAGAGGTTGCTGATTTGGTTCCTGGTCAGACGGCGTGCCCAGGTTGCAGGCTTGATCCCCTGTAGGGGGTGCAGGAGGCAGCCAATCGATGTATCATTGTTACATTGATGTTTTCCTCTTTTTCTTTCCTCTCTCTAAAAATCAATAAACACTTTTTTTAAAAACAAAAAAACAAACAAACTGTCACCAGGACTTGTATTTGCTGAGGACCTGCCAGGACAACATACTGAGGTGTGGAGGACACAATGGTGACCAAAACTTAGCTCCTGCCCTTGAGCTCACAGCCAGGCATGGGAGACAGGCAAGAATGTGGACAAGGCGAGAGCAGATAAAAGGGCCCAACACACAGGGGCCTTGGCAGAGGCATTATGGCACACTCCCACCTTGCCTGTGCTTACCGTCCCAGGCCCGGAGATGCCCACACTTATTTTCATCATCCCCTTCACACCATCTGAGGCACTGGGCCCACCCTTAAAATAACTGTTGCTAATTCTCTCAGTGCTTTCCACGCACAGCCATGTTCAACATGCTTCCCTCAAACTTTAGTTTGGGGTGTGTGTGTGTGTGTGTGTGTGTGTGCAGCTGACGGCCCACTGCTGGGCCCTACACATGCATCTGCCCCTGCTTTCCCCACAAACAGCATATGACTCGAGAGAAGGCAGTCTTGTATGTTTCCATGATTTTTTCATAGCAAATGAGCTGAGGGAGGAGTGATGTGGTGACACCTCCTGGGCTGAGATGGCATGTGACTGTTCTAAATGCCAAACTGAATGTGCAGGCAGGGAAGCACGTGAACGGCAGTTGGACAGGGAACGGGCAAGCACAAGGTGACCTGGCCAGCTGGCCTCTACCTACAAAGGAAGGGGTGGGTGCTGGGTTCTCAGATTCAGCTCAGAGTGGGAACATGAAGTTACCCCCGGTGGTTCCTGGGGTGCAGTGAGAGTGGACCAACAAGAACAAGCCAGAACTACCCCTCACATAAACTACGCTGGGCACAGAAATGTACCACCAGTTCTGAAACCCTAAGATAAAAGGCTCACTCTCTTGGAGCCAGGAGGGTGGGCTGGATTTTGAAAGTCCTCCTTTTCCCTGCAGATAGAAGCTCTGGGAAAATCAGACAGCACAGGCGGGAAAGACCTCTAAGGTCCAGAAGAGTTTGGAGAATCACCAGAAAATAGCTCCTCCAGAGCCACTGGAAAGCGAGGGCTGGAACTGCCCTGGGGGCCTCTTCTTGGGTCTCTGCAGAGGATAGGGGCAGCTAAAGCTGATGGAGAAGGGCTTCCTGGAGGAAAGACACAGTACCATGGTGCTGCCCACTGGGTAGATGGGGACAGAAAGTTCCAAACAGCAGCAGGGAAGGGTACGACATGCTTGCCCAGGCTGCAGCCCTCACTCACATGTGCCAGGGTGGAGAATGCGCTCCACTGGAGGAGAATGGACACAGCCTGAGGGAGATTTCCTCCTCTTGGGAAACTCCAGCCTCCAGGTTGAGCCCAACTCTTTGAAGCTGGGAAGCACCTAAACCCTGCTCTCTTTCAGGAGGTGGGGGGAGGATTATGCAAGCCCTGGCTCCTTGGCACCCCCTAGTACCACCCCCACCCCCGCTCCCTCTGCGCTCCTTCCCTCAGCCGCCTCTGCTCCTCTGAGCTTCTCTTGAAAACCTTCGCATCCTTCACACCCTTCGTGGGAGAGAAGTTGCTTAGCAGCACAGCAGAGCAGGACAGTGCTTATGTAAATGCAGCAGCACCTGGGCGGTCTGCAGACAGAAAAGGACATACCTGCCGCCTTGCCCTAGCTTCCAAAGGAAACAGCATCATTGTCCTCCCACCCTCAAGACCCAAGTTCCAAATGAGGAACATGACAGGGATGCTTGTTTCAAGTCCGTGGAACCTCAGAGTGACAGAACTGACAGAAAACACAAGTGAAGAAACTTGAAAACACTATGACTCACTGAGTGCAGGGTCTAAAGAGCAGGGAAACTGTAAAACCCTGAGTGTAAGGAAGCAATAGAAGGCTCACGCCTCCCACACAGACGCAGGTCCTTCTCCACCTTCAGGGTCAAAAGAGAAGAGACACTCCTGGCCAGGACTCCCGCAGCTCACCCTCTCTCGGTCCTCCTGCCCACTCCTGCATGACCTTGAGTGAAACTCCTACAACCCCCACTCAGGCCTGCTCCCTCTAGGCCCTAGGAGAACACACATCTCTCACACACACACATACACACGAGGCAGGAAGCTGATATCTGCTCTTTGGCTTCTTACCTTAATGTAGTTGATGAACTCTGTCAGGAAGCTGTGGGACTAGAGGAGCAGAGAAACCAGAGTGAGTATCACCCTTGCAGAGACAGCAGGGGTCTCTGCCTACCCACCTGAGTGCCACCTGCCTGTGTGCCTGCCCAACCACCTGCATGTGCCACCTGCCTTCGCAAGCAGCACAGCCTCCCACGGTGAGGGTTTTGGAGGCACCACCTCTCTTGAGGACAAGGCCTCTCACTGCTAGAGCCCGCTGGTCATCATGCCCAACCATTTCTCACTGCCTAGCTGGGGAGGCAGGCAAGGAGCAGCAGGGCATCTGGGATGCGATGGCTAGCCTTGAGTCTGCCACAGGCCCGCCTTGGTGGGTGCAGGGAGGTTTCACAGGCGTTGCAGGCCCACCTGTTCCTCAGTCATGTTCTCGCCCACGCCCTCCTCCTCCACCACGAAGGCCTCCTTCAGTTTCAGGTATTCCTCATGCTCCCGCTGGGCCTGCTCCTCCCGGGCCTTCCTCTCCTCCTCCTCCTGTGGACACAGACGGGGCAAGAGTCAGGCATTTGGACACAGGTGCCCACCCCATCCCTATCCTGGTCCTTGCTGCCCCCGCAGGGCACCAGGTCATATAGCTCAGCGCTTTGTCAGGGACAGAGCTCCTTCAAGACCCCAATCTCTCTGGCTTCCATCCTGAACAGAAGGCAGAGGCCCCTCTCTTTATCAGTTCCGTCAACCCCCAGACAAATGATGCTCAGCCCCCCTCTCCTTGAAGCCCTGCTGTGATCCCACACACAACATCCTCCAGTCACCCCACCCCTCTCTCCTGCCATGTTCAAACAAACACCCAGGCTCCATTTCCTCACCATCCATTCACCCCGCCAGCCCACTCTAATCTGGCTTCTACATATCCAGTTCCTCTGAAACAGCTCCTGCTACAGTCTCATGCATGCCCTTAATCCCACCAAATCAAGCCTCACATTCCTGTCCTCTCAGTGGCAATGGGCAGAGTTGACCACTCCCTCTTCCCTCCCTTGGCTTCCAGACCCCACCCTCTCCTGAACTTCCTCCTGTTCCTTGGGCTATTCTTCCTGCCTCTTCCATCACTCAGCACTGTCCCTTCTCCCTCGTCCATGTTCTCTCCATGCCCACGGCATCAACAGCCATTTCCTTGCCAGGGACTGCCACAGTTGTATCCCTGCTGAAATCTCTACTCCCAAACACATGACTGCCCATGGTACACAGGCCGTCACACAGGCACCTCAAATTGAATTATGTTCCAGAAAGACCCTGTAATCTACTCCCCACGTGTCTGGTCCTCCTCCTGAGTCCCTGGCTCAGTAAGTGACACAGCCATTTGACCAGCTGCCTCAGTCAAAAGTGAGGTCCCATCTACCACTTCTTTCTTTAACTTCCAGAAAGCTTCTCAGTCCATCCATGTCACTCCATCACCACCACCATCTAGTACTACAACCTCCCCTCAACCTAAGCCATTTCCTAGAACTCTCAGAAAGATCTTTTCAAAACCCAAAGCTCGAGCTGGGTCAGGGAATATACAGCATGTGGGTAAAAATAAACAGCTGAGTATATAAATAGAAAAGATAAATCTCACATAAAAAGAATCCCAAATACTTTTTGTTGATGCTCTCCTCTCAAGAAGGCTAAGTATAAATCCCCACCGCTTAACTGTAGCCTGTGCAGAGTGACTTGTTTCCGGAGAAGTATGGGAAGGGAGGAGTAACATCATGGTGGAGAAACTTGACAAATACCCTAGCCAGGTGATCTCAGTTAACATCACTAGTAACATCACCAGTCAAGTTGATAACATGTACCACTGATATGTTGTGTTGAAGATGGCATTTTGTGGTCTTCCTCCCAGCAAGCCATAACTCCAGTCTAACCATGAGAACAACGTCAGCCAAACACAAACTGAGGAACACTCTACAAAATACTTTCCCAGTACTCCTCAAAACAATCAGGATCATCAAAAGCAAGGAAAGTCTGAGAACCTGTCACAACCCAGAGGAGCCTAAGAAGACATGACAACTAAGTGTAACGTGGTATCCTGGATGGGATCCTGGAAACGGAAAAGGATATTGGGAAAAAACTAATGAAATCTTGAATAATGTGTGGGGTTTAGTTAATAATAATGCATCCATATTAGTTGTGAGAAATATGCCACAATAGGTAAGATGTGAACAGGGGAAACTGAGTGAGGGGAAGAAGGGCCCCAGGATACTGAAGGTGCATTAGGCAGAGTGAGTATTTACAAGGGTGAAAAACCCCCTCTGCTAATGTTCTGGCCCATTCACTACAGCACCCACAGCCAGGCTTTTTGCCATCCAGTGCCCCTGGACAATGAGGCCAGTCAGAGCCCGAAGACATAAAGCTATGGGGTCTTCCCAGCCGGGGCAGCCCTGGCTCTCGCTCTGTATCACAACACATCTGTGGCATATTCCCTTTCTTGGGCACCTGGTTCTCAGAAGGAAGAAACACCTGGCAAACAAATGCTTATTAACCACCTTTATTGCTGTGGCCGCATCCCTGAGCATCTCCTCTGTGCAAGGCCCTAAACAGGACCTGGCTCAGGCAGGTCCACTATCTCTCACAGTGACCTGTAACAGCCTCAAGGCCCTCAGGATCCAGACATCCCTCCCTTACCTCTTTGACCCCACTCCTTGTTCACCCCCTCGCCACTCTCACTATCTCAATATTCTTTAAGTACTCCAGGTATGATTGATATAACACAGGCATAAAAATTCCCATCTCAGGGTTTGCTTTTCAGCAGCAGCTTTACACAGATTGCACCTAGAGCCCAGGGACCAAGTAAACCAGGGCCTGCCCCTGGTCTATGGCCCATCTTCTGGGTTGGAGGAATCAGGGAGCTGCATAGGAAACAAGGCTGCATGGGGTGTCAGAAGTCAGGATCTGAAGTCTGCCTCACCTTCTGCTTCTCCTCTAACCGAAGCCGCTCCTCCTCCTTCTTCCACTCTGCCTCACGCTGGGACTCAAGGCGTTTCCGCTCCTCACGTTCAGCCTCCTCTGCCTGGAGAAAGGTCTTCATAGGGACACATCCCCACCCCTAAATGGAGCTTGCCCACCTCCCAAACAGTCCAGGGCAGGCAATGCCTGGGCCAGGCCACAGACCAAGGCTGCAGGAGACAAAGCCAGGCAAGTAGCAAACAATAGCCCAGCATGCAAAGATCCTCAAGGGGAGGGTCTGCCATAGGGAACAGGGAAGGCAAGGCCCTTTCCCACTTCCCAGAGCTGCACCCCACCCCTTCTGCTTGCCTCGCGCTGGGCTTTTCGTGCTTGTTTCTCTTCCAATTTCCGTAGTTTCTTGGCTCCAATTTTCCCTGACGGGTGAGCTTCCACTGGCTTCTCACTGTCTTCTTCCTCGTGGGCTAAGTGTGGTTAGGGAAAGACACTTCAGGTCCTAGCTAGAGAGGACTGATGATGATGAGTCCACCCCACCCTTTATCCCTGTCCTCATGGGTGGTTCCCCTTCCACCCACCTGCCCAGCTCTGCCCTCCAGAAGCATCTGCCATGAGTGCAGAAATTTAAACTCTGGCTGTGCCGGTGTTAGGGGTGGTGGGAGGGTGAGGGGGCCATGGGTCAAAGGAAGAGAGAACTTTAGATGCTGCATAGCCATAGAGGGAAGCAGCAGGTTACAGTATCTGAATGTGTGCCAATCACAGGCAGGGCTGTCTGGGGTTGCGGAGTCCCCTCCTTTGTCTCTGAGCCAAAGCTCCAGGGAAGGATAGCCCCAGGAGAAATTTACCCTCCTTCCTCTCCTCTCCACCTCAAATCTCAAGTCATTCTCACTGTGGTCAGGAAGTGCTGAGGGTTCTGGGCTTAGCCCCTGCCAGGGTTATCCCTTTGACCCACCAGACCCAAGGCAAAAAGATAGCCCAAACCCCAGGATTACCCCAGGGCCAAAGACCCTGAAAATTAAAGACCCACTGATTCCTGAGCAGCAAGGATGTTTGACTCCAAGTCTGAGACAGGAGAGATGGTGCAACACAGGGCCTCTTTTTTGAGCCAAAGGGCCTAATTTCCAAAGGTACAAGGGCAAAAACCCTAAATGCCCCCTCCTCAGGCTCAAGCCAGCTATAGAGCACTGGAGAGGAAATATTCTTTCCCATAATCCTACGGGCTCTGTTGGTCTCCCAGCGCAAGGGATATAGAGGCCCCTGTCAAAATAATATCCCTGTCCTTAAATTCTTCTCAGGTTATGGGCGACTCCACTCCAGGAAATGCAGAAACTCTGGTCCTGAGGTGAGGCCCTCAGGGACTGAGTGTGCCCACACCAGGAAGAATGCTGGGATATAAGGAATGGACTGAGGAACTCTTGTGGTCAATCTAAAAACCCTGCCCTCCTGCTTGGAAACATGGGTCGGGATCCAGAACTGCTGGTCCCTAGGACCAAAGGCTGGGTCCCAAGTCTGGCCGCACTCCTGTGGCTCCCAGACATCCCTCCCACACTGGCTTCACGCCGTATTCTTCCACCCAGCTTCTGGAGTCCTCTCACCCCCTAAATCAGTTCCCCTCCCCTACAGGCTGTGGCCCCACTCACCTGGGACGACGGCCTCCTCCTCATTCTCATCCACCTCCAACCTGGCCACCCGCTGGGCCTGACGCTGGGCCTGTAGGCGGCTGCCCAGGTCCCTGCGGCGCCGGGGTCTACCTCCAGTCCTCTGCTCCTCATGCTCCAGGGACCGAGGCTGGGCCACTCGGCCTGCTACTACCGGTTCTTCTCCATTGTGCAGTGGCTCTTGGCTGGCTGAAGGGAGGAGAGGAACCATAATTCTGATGGCAGGGGAGCAACATTCTGAAAGTCTCATCGCCCTCCACTCAACTTGCTCCGGCTCCTGATACCCAGGGCACAAACCCCAACCTCTCAGACCACTGAGGCATTTACAACCTTGGTCCTACACAGCAAGATCATCCTTTCCCTCTTGCCTGTGTTAATACCTTTCCCCTCAAGGTCCCACCTTTCCAGCTGGCCCATCAGGAGATTACCACCCTGATGGAGCAAGACAGAGCTGAAGCTCTACCTCCTCCAGGAAGTCCACTTTGACCTCTCCAGACCTCACCCCAATGCCCACTGCAGGGCTGCATTTACTTCCTGCCTAACATCACCTGCCATGGCTTTATATGGCATCTCAACCAGAGAGCCCACCTGGGGGCTCGGTTTCCTCCCAGGAAGATCTGCTGGCTGTCTTACCTCGGCTTCTCGCCCCTGCCCTTGGCGCACGCAGGTGCTATGAAGTAGCTTTTGGGCCCAGAGAGGCGGGGAGACGTTATACACAAAGCCCTACGCTGACAAGAAAAGGGGGTGGGGTTGGGAATCACGGGTGTATCTGTTCTAGGCCCTAGCCGATGGACAACACGACCTTCCGATCAGAGTGCAGAACAGGGTGGAGGGTGCCTGGGTGTCTTTTTGAGTGGAAAAGAGCCTCAGGCAGTTCCCTAGAGCTGCCTCATGCTCTCTACAGCTCGTGGGTAGGTAGAAAACACTCAGAAGCCCACTTGTGGGCATCCACTCTGGAGCCAGCCTGGGACGGGCGGGAAACTCCCGCGGCCTCGCCAAGGGGCGCGGAGGGGTCGCCCCGGGGAGGGTGAGAGGGCAGTGTGCCGCCAGAACCTAGGCCCTCTGGTCCGCAGGTCTGGAGGGCCAGGGGCGAGAACGGGGGTGCGGCGAGGCTGTCTTCTGGGGCCAGGAGGAAGGTGCAGGGGCGCTGCCATCCAGGCCGCGGCTCCCGGCCGGTCCCGGGGCGCTGTCGTCAGCGCTCGCCCTCAGGGGCCCGATGCTACCGGGCGCCCGGATCCCAGTCAGCCCGCCGGGCACGCCGGCG